AGAGAAATGTTTAGATTAAAAGATATCACGATTTTCCGACGCCAGGACGTGATATCTTTCAAAATCGATAAAAAGCGAAATTACTCTGAAATGGTTGAGAATCGGACCATGGACAATATGAACTTTTTTGTTCATTTTAGGGTGAAGAATCTACTGGAGAAGTTTGTAGCACGAGTAGCAATTCACCCTGTATATATATATATATATATATATATATATATATATATAGAATAATTGGTCTTGTACGTTGGATCAATTGGTTGCTTTGATTAATAATTTGATGATAAATAGGAGTATGGTAAAACAGATAAAAGAATTGACGGGACAGTTAGATAAACAGATGTGTAAAAATGTAACAGATGTTAGATGAAAACTGTAAAACTTGTGAAAATTGTTGGTAAGAAGTGAATGGGATATAGCGAGAAAGATTGAGATAGATAGATAGGTAGATAGATAGATAAAGATAGATAGATAAATAGATAGGTAGATAGAGAGGGAGAAGGTGAGAGAGAGAGTGAGAAAGAGAGATGAGGGAGAGAGAAGGAGAAAGGAGGGAAAGCGATTGAGAGAGGGCGAGGGAGAAATGGATGTGAAGCGCATTTCCTTTTTTTTCGTAAAGTAAACGGCGAAACGAACTGTGATTTATGTATGGACCTTCTACCCTGTTTATTGGANATATTTGCTCCTATAATCTCTTTCTCTTACGATTTATTCTGGAAATATAAGTTAACGGATTTGACTTGGTTGTAGTATGCTATCAGTTAAAGTTTTGAGAGTTAAAAAAAAATTAATGGATCTGTTTGATTATTATGCCAAAAGAGACAAAACTGTGAGTGAGTGTTGAAAAAAGAGATATTTGAAAAAATAAAACACAGGTGTAAAGGGTAAGCGTGAGAGAAGGATAGCAAGAGAGAAGGAAAGTGAATGATAAAGAACAAGACAATCAATGGGTAGAGAGATGAAGAGGGTGACTACGAAAAAAGCTTATTTTATAAATTTTGAGTGATGAAATCTGGGGTTGATTAAAGCATATGACACTATGAAGTAAGTATTTCACATTGAGAGTAGGAATGACAGAGAAAGAGTAAGGCTAGGAAACATGTGAGAGTATGTTATGGGCCAAGTGAATGTAAAAAAAAATGGATTAATTATTGGAGTAATATGAATGGTGAGAGACTGAGAGTGAGTGAGTGAGTTGGTAGAATATTTTTGTACGTTAAGTAAACGGTGAAACGGACAGTAATTTATGGTTCTGGCATATTCGTTACAAAAAAATTCTATCTCATGATATATCTCATCTTTGGGAAATGTAAGGATATATTAATACTTTACTCGTTCTAGTATTTTTCAACTTCTTTAGAAGACTCAAAAAGAAAAAAATCACCTAATAAATGATTTTATGGTTCATTCAAACAAATATTGATGATTTATTTATTGTTGAATATAAAAATAATCCATTACGTTTAGTGCTCGATTGACCAAATTTCTTCTTCCAATTAATTATTCATTTAGATGTAAGGTTTTGGTTGAAATGAAAAAGTTAGTGTCACGAGCGGGATTCGAACCCAAGAACGTCGGCTCAATATGCCGCTGCTCTAATCAGTTGAATTATCGTGACTTCGATCCACTCGGACACCAACTCGGTGTTGTTAAAGCAGCGAGAGTTCGAATCCCGCTCTTGACTAACTTTTTCATTTCAACCAAAAAATTACATAAAATGAATAATTAGTTATAAAAAAAATGTCGAAATAAAGTAAAGTATGTTGAATTGGCCATAAGTTTAGAATTAATTGTTTCTCGATGGTACACTGGCTTCCATGTCAGGTGGCGACTTCCAAACTTTTTCCTAACTACATTTTATTGTTTCAAAACAGATATTTTTGTTTTGTAAAAAACTCTCGTTTACGCACTTGAAAAAGCGGTCGCCCGTCCTCCACCTAGAGTCACCCGCTCCACCTTCGCAGCTGAGTTGCGTATTCAGGGAATAATCGGCGTTCTTAGGGTCGTTGACGAAGTCCTCGACGCCGTGGGCGTAGACTTTGATCGCAGTCGTGATTTCGCTTAGCAGCCTGTCTGAAGATGTGTCAAAATGTACTCCTGCGAAAAAAAATCGAATTAATTAAAAGAAATACAAAGAAAACAATATCAAAATATTTTTTTTTTAATATATAAGAAAGGCAAAGATAAAATTTTCTGTTAAAAAACAAACAATTGACGGTTTAGTCTTCATTTATCCTAGCAGTCTGATAAGGGCAAATGACTCTTAAAAGCAAGCAGGATGTCTGGGAACTTAAGATCATGAATGTTCCTGGATCAGAGAGCTAATAGTTGTTTAGGTCAAAAAGGCTCTGGATCTCCATCCCTTATGATCAACCCTATCCTCGATGGCAGTATAAAAAAACTTTCTTTATCCCGTTCCCTAAATTGAAATGAAGAAGGAGGTGCCTGCCCTAGTGTGCAAACTCTTGATATATGACCTCCAGCAGTAGTAAGTGTCCTAACACCCAAAATTCCCGTTGGACTTTATATTGACTGCAATAACAAACAAAAAGTATCAATAAATAATTACAGAGTTAAATTCATCCACATATTCCTTATAACCTTGTTACTCTCTGCAGGTAAAAGACTTAAGTTATTATTTCCTAGAACAAAAAGATGAAAGAAGTAAACGAGAAGGTACTTCTTTAAAGTCCTCCTACTCTTATTCTTCGAATACATGCTTAGCCTATTTATTTTTACTGTGCTGGCTAAAAACTGGAGGAGTTCCTCTGAGCACTGCAGCTCTGAAGAGCTTATTTTAGTACTCCTTTCTGGTTCCATTTTGTGGGCTCGAAATACGTGTGTGACTAAACCCCTGGTTGCCGGTGTTTTTCCATCGAAGAAACTTATTTTCGAAGAGGAGTCTGGACCAATTTCAGGGTTGCTGTGATCCGACCCCTCCAGATACTATGCCCGTTGATCAGTGGCGTGCCAATTTTCATTGCGGCAATCGGTGTCAGAAAAACCTCAAGTGGGTACGGTGGGAATCGAACCCACTACCGCGAGATCACACGCCATAACCACTCGTCTATCGCGGTCCCCATGCTTTGACTTTGTTGTTCATTCCCTAATTATCAAACAATAGAAAAAGTTATTTGCTAAAGTGTGCAATGGTGATTACTTATGACGGAAAGAAAAAGTTTTATGGATTCATTACAAAATACCGGTTTATTCCGTACCACGGAAGACGTTAAACACAAACCAATAGATTTGGACGACAAAGGGCTCTGAAGCGAAAGCTCTTGCAGATATAAATAAAAATGATTGCAGATCTATAAAAAGCATATTCAAAATTTCCGTAGAATGGGACGGGTTTTGGCGTAATTCTGTTAATGGAATACGGAACAATTCAGACCGGCCATATTTGAATATGTGAAAATACTACCCGAAAACCTCAACTCTCACCAAGACTGGCAAAAGCACTGCTGCAATTGGAGAGGGCCAAACTGAGAGGATTGGTAGGACTACTGGCATCTGAGAAAACATTTACACAAAATTCGTATATACAGCGATGACCCCATTTGCAGATTATGTAATGAGGAGGAGGAAACAGCCACTCTTATCATCTTCGAATGCGAAGAAACAGCTCAATGGAGATTCAACCTAAAGTACGGAAAAAACAGGGAATCAAATTGCACCAGCGACAGTCAATGACCTGATACTTCTAAGAAGAAGGATTGAGTCTATTGACTGAACCAAGGAACTAGAAAGGTACAATAAGCCAGAAGACTGCAGTGCCTGGGGAGTGCAAACCCCGCTTCCTAGTATCCTTTTTCACAATACCATACTAGAAAACCGTATGCAGAGAGAACTATAAACCAATCAATGCAACCCTAACCGATTTTTACCCTTCATTTTTACCTGTATCCACTTTTGATCAAGAAACACCTCAAACTTTATACCATTTAATGTGTAGAGATTAGTGACCGTTAATCGATAGTTATTCATATATCGTGAGATGCTACATCACACCCGACCGCATCTCACGATATCTGAATAAATACCATTCCACTCTTAAAAAATCCTATTTTTGATAATTCAGTAAAAAGGAGTGACGGCACATTATTTTTTGCATATATTTCCGGTGATGTAATTAAGGACAATTTGGCACAAAATAATAAATTTACATTTGGTAACAAATTATCTTGACTTGGTACAATTATGTTCGGATCAGCTAACCATGAAATCGGCAAAGTTTTCCTAAAGAGCTCGTAAGCCAACGAAAGTGATGCTCAAATCAAAATACTTTAATGACAAGTTTATCAAAAAGTTCCACTACAGAAGAGGGACAAAGTAATTTCAAAGGCGCTGTAATTACAAGTAAAATAATATCACAAATTGAGAGAAAACTAAGTTTTATTGGACATTTAAAGGTTTATAAAAATGTACGATTACTCAAGATCAAAAAGTTTAGTAAGAACGCTTCATTTATAACCCTCATAGGTTCTGAACAATTTTTGCAGCATTGTCGATGTAAATTATATTGCTCTCCTGATAAACGCAGACAAGGACTCAATAAAAGTCTTAGTATTAAATCATAAACAAACCCAACGTTAACGAAATTAATAATTGCAATAAAACCTAGCGAGGACGTTTGATCCCACTCGTTACCCGTGGGTTTAAGCCGGTTAAACCAGGAAGGTCGTAAATAACCTCAAGCACAGTGTCCCGGCAGACACCGCATCCAGGGGTTCATAATCCTAACTACCTCCAAACACAAAGCCATCTACCCACAAGTTTCAAACGCCTTAGGTTGAAAATGGAAAATTTCCTTCACACACTGACTTAATCGCTCTATTACTCCCTCCTACCCTTCCTCGCTGCCACCTCTCTCAACCTTTCGCACTATCTATTTATCTATCTTTGTCTCCCTACCATCATTTAAATGTCTACCAAACTTTCTGTTTCTAAATTCAAGTACTCCATAAATTGAAAAATTTCCTTCCAACCTCTCTCAAATTGCTCCTTCCCTCCCTCTCACACTCTCTCTTTCTTCCTCTCTCTCTCTCTCACTCTCTCTCTCTCTCACTCACGATCTCTTTCTCACAACTTTTCATCTACTTTTTCACTCTTATACAACATGTACACACATATTCCAAATTCTTTTCTATTTACCTCTCTTTTCCGGACTCATTCGCTCTCTCTCTCTCTCTTTTACTACTTACTCTCTCTCTCTCTCTCTCTCTCTCTATCAATCTATCTATCTATCAATCTATCTATCTATCAATTTATCTATATATCTATCTCTATCTATCTATCTCTATCTATCTGCCTCTCTCTCTCTTACACGATCTCTTTCTCACTCACTCTTGCTCTACTTTTTCACTCTTATACATTTACACACATATTCCAAATTCTTTTCTATTTACCTCTCTTTTCCGATATCATTCGCTCTCTCTCTCTTTCACTTCTTACTCTCTCTCCTGCCTGTTTTCAGTTTTGCGCGTTCATTGTCACTTCTCACCCATTCCTATTTAGTATTTAGCTTATCTGCTACTACATCTCACGGTCTGGCCGATTCATGATCGGAACTATTTTCAAAAATACAAACCCAACACACCCATAAGTCTCTCCCTCCCTCTATCACTCCCTCTATCACACCCTCACTCTCTCTCTCTCTCTCTCTCTCTCTCTCTCTCTCTCTCTCTCTCTCTCTCTCTCTCTCCCTCCCTCCCTCCCTTGCACATATACAGTAAAGTAATCCCTCCATCCGACCAAATCCGCTACCTTGGGTTCTAATTTGACAGCATTTACATGGAACACACACACACAGAAAAAAAAAAAGAAAAAAAAAGAACTGAACCGAGAATACGAACAACCCAAGACGCCTGCTCGGACCCAAATCCACAATGAGTACACAGCAAATTAACAATATTCGAGGCACTAATTAGACGATTTGGACTTACTGAGTGGAATCTATCCTCCGGACACAGGCAATCGAAAGAGTTTGTTAAGGCGATCAAACCAGCAGAATCGAAATGGCTATTCTCTAACTCAATGAAGGGAATTAGGAGGCTGATAGNTTAGTGTCCGAGTGGATCGAGGTCACGATAGCTCAAGTGGTAGAGTAGCGGCGTATCTAGCCGAAGATCGTGGGTTCGAATCCCGCTCGTGACACTGATTTTTTAATCTCAACTAAAAACCTTAATTAATTGAAAGTTGTTTACTGTGTTGATTATAACGATTGCTCCACGGTGTACTATGGTCAATCTAAATTTTTTTTGGTCGAACGCATTAAGGCCCATACATATGTGTGCAGAAACCACAGTAGAGCGGGAAAGGAACTGTCGAAACATTCAATTGAACAGAAACTCAACTTTAAGTAAAATACTGAAGACATAAAAATTGTAGACTGTGACAAAATTCTAGATTACTCAAAAAATCTATGTATGTTCAAAAAGATCCTAATGCTTGCAATTTGAAAACTGATTACAATAATTTTAGTACAATTTATTCAAATTTATTAACAAAAAATAATATTATTGAAAAATACGTTGTAATCTAGACAATGCATGTACATAATAGATATTTATATTGAATTTATTTATGTACTTATTTAATTATACTGTATATAGGTTCTGATATTTGTAAAAAAAAACCTTCCAATGGAGTGAAATTTTGCATTAGTCCATTGGATATTATGTTAGAAAGGCATTAACGAGCCTATTATTTTCTTCAAGTGATATCGTATTGTGATAAAGAAACGCAGGTTTTTATTTTGTTTCTTACTTCGTATGTTCGCAAACATTTATAAACTTATGACTTTGTTTTTATAGGTACGAAACAAAAAATGTATATTTCTTCTTGAATTACTGTATTGATAATAGTTTTTGTCATAACGCTTTGAGAAAGACTAAATATAATCTTAAGCTTGGCAAATTAGACAACACCTTGCTGTTTATTTCAATTAATTCATGTTTTTAGTTGAGATAAAAAAGTCAGTGTCACGAGCGGGATTCGAACCCACGATCTTCGGCTAGATACGCCGCTGCTCTACCACTTGAGCTATCCTGACTTCGATCCACTCGAACACTAACTTCCCATCTCAACCTCACCTCTCGAATTTTCCCTCCTTTTTGCCAATTTTCAATGCAATTTTTTATCTCAACTAAAAACCTTAATTAATTGAAATATGTTAATTGGTCAAGCGGGCCACGAAACTAGTGAACTTGCTGTTTTTCTTGACCACAAACCCGATAACTGTGAGCATTGAATTAGCGTTGATAATGTACCTCGATAAATTTATACTACACAAAATTAAACTCCTGCCATGATTGTTACCTTCTTTTTAGAGAATAGTAACTAAGAAAAGTATTGAACACAAATAATTCAAGATGGACTAAAGAAGAAGAACAACAAAAACAAAACGAGTTAATGATGTTTTAAAGATTTGGGGTATTTTATGTTGTGGTAAGTTTTGCAAACAATTAGCTTATCTTCCATGATAATATTTTTTTCGAAGGACTTTCTTCGCTCATGGTTTACGATTTGGTTTCGGAAATGAACCGTATCCATAATCCCAACACGACCGCGGAAAACTTCCAGAGTATTTTCCAGCCAATCAGTTAAAAGGGCTTTCCGTTCCGCCGTCTGAATGACCGGGAATAAATTGGAAAAAAAATGGCAAAACCGGCCCGGCAGAACAAACAGTATATTATATCGCCAAGGCTCGGAAATTTAAGTATCTTAAGTACCGTGTGGGTAGATAATATAAAATTAAAGCGGCTGGAAAAATCTACCACACATTTGAGTTGTGTCCTACGTAATTTCTCCTCTCGACACCTGCTTAATCCGGGTTAGGTAATAATAGCCGGATTTAAGCCCGCCTCGAGCGCCACAATTTTCCACCTGTTACCATGGGTACCGATCTTCTCCAGGACGGAATTATGATCAAAAATGCCAAAGATTCCGTATTTAATATTACTATTGTGCACAAATTGATTATTAAAAGCAGAAATAAAGTCTTTGATAAAGGCAATATACTGGAAAACGATTATGTACTTTGTTTTGCATAAATTGCTTATTTATTGCTGAATAACAATATTATTCCATGATTAGAGTAACGATGTTTTCTTATATTTTGACCTCAACAGTTAATCTTATCCTTCCTTCATGAAGGTGGGATAATAGGTCATCTCAAAAAACCACAGCCAGTTTTTATCCACAACGTTTCGGATTTATTTTAATAAGTACCACACTGGCTCTTTTTTAAAATAAATTGTTATAAAATGTTAATGACTGACGACCACTTTTTTAACCATTGTAAGTAGTGAAGAAACAATGATAACCATGTTGATATAAAAAATATTTGTTCTGTGTACAGGCGTTAACTCACCTGAGGAAGGATTAAAATAAATCCGAAACGTTGTGGATAAAAACTGGTTGTGGTTTTTTGAGATGACCTATTATCCCACCTTCAAGAAGGAAGAATCATAAGAACAATATTATTATTATATAAATCTTTGTTGGATGCAATTTGTTTTTATCTTAGATATAATACTATTATATAGCTAATATAGCATTATTTAACCACGCAAAATTGAGGCGAAAGAAGCGAGAGAAAACTAGAAAATATTAGAGAAAATAAAACAGCAAACAAATAAACAAAACGTAAAATAAATAGAAAATACAGTTGCAGACAACCTTTTATTCCTAATACCTTTTTCTAACAAATACATTTTTGTCAACATCGAACTGTTAATCCTCCTAATACTGTCAAATTGAAAAAAAAATTGAAGTGAATTCTTGAAAATTATTTTCTTTAGAAATATTAGTTTGTTATTTGATTTAAAATTACTGCATGGGTTGTTGAACGAAAAAAATACTCTACAGTTAGATCGGTCAAAGGAGGTAGGTAGTGAATAAATGAGAAAAAAATGATAGAGTGTGAATACACATACTTTATTGCGTAATTAATCTTCTCTCATGTTCCACAGATAAACAACAAAGAATAGCTGTGATCTCTTTCAACTTTGTTTCAGATATTTTGCAATATAGATCATCTTCAACGATTTTCAACCGATGTTTATTTATCCTTTTTTGAAACATTTTAAATAAAAAGTGATCAAATAAAAGAAAGAAGAGGGAAAGAAGACTATGTTATTTAGCACATATTTAACTAAAATAACATACATAAAATCAACAGGTAATTCTCAAATTTATATATAGTTATTTAACATAGTAGACAAAAAAATTTGTCTTTATCGTACTTTTAAGTGCGACTACTTCAAATCTGCGTCTAAATATTTCGGTTATGGTACATTTACATGGGTACTATGTTTTTATAATTTGGTAATATACAAACTTTACAATCCAATTGGTTTTTCACCCATCAAAACATATTAACAACTACGAAAACACGCTAACTCACAAATATACGATTACTCCATTATCGATATTTACTACGTAGGTAATTGACCTCTTGAATGATTAATAATATGTAATTAATCCAGAGCGGCTGGAAATGGGTAGCTTTCTCAATAACGCCCGTAATGTCACAATGATAAAATGAAATCCAACCGGCACGCATCGCCTTTATTGACCCAATATCTCGTACTTACAGGCCGCTAATAAATGATAAATTTCCCATTGCACGTCCCATTCTTGTTCAATAGCAGCCTCTGCATTTAGTAAGCATAAGTGCTTCTTAGGTCATTTCACGATCCACCTGAGTCATCACGTACGCTACGAATTGAGGTTTCGCTGGTTGTATGTAATATATATAAAGTTGTAGATGACAATCCATAAAGTAAACAAATTCATATGGTTCATGGAGCACGTTGAAAGATAGAAAAAAAGAAAAAAGAGAAGAAAATGAGAGCGGTGAGTGAGGGGAAAAAAAGAAGACTAGATAGATAAAGAGTGAGAGAGAAGGAGAGAAAGAGGGACAGGGGAACGAAAGATATGGGAAAATTAAATATTGGATTAAACAATAATGAGATAGAATTCGATAAAGGAGAAACAGGGATATATAGAAGAGAGAGAGAGAGAGTGAGAGAGAGAGAGAGAGTGAGGAGAGTGAGAGAGAGAGAGAGAGAGAGAGGGAGAGAGAGAGAATGTAATGAGCTAGAAAGAGAGGGAGAGTGGGACAGGGGAACGAAAGATATGGGAAAATTAAATATTGGATTAAACAAATGAGATAGAATTCGATAAAGGAGAAAGAGGGATATATAGAAGAGAGAAAGAGAGAGAGAGAGAGAGAGAGAGAGAGAGAGAGAGAGAGAGAGAATGTAATGAGCTAGAAAGAGAGGGAGAGTGGGACAGGGGAACGAAAGATATGGGAAAATTAAATACTGGATTAAACAATAATGAGATAGAATTCGATAAAGGAGAAAGAGGGATATATAGAAGAGAGAAAGAGAGAGAGAGAGAGTGAGAGAAAGAGAGAGAGAGAGAGAGTGAGAGAGAGGGAGAGAATGTAATGAGCTAGAATGAGAGTGGTAGAGGGAGAGTGGTACAGGGGAACGAAAGATATGAAAAAATTAAATATTAGATTAAGAAATAATCAGACAGAATTAGATAAAGGAGAAACAGGGATATACAACAGAGAGAGATAGAGATAGATTTATGGATAGGGAGGTGAGAAAAAGAAGATCTATCAAAGAATGAAAACAATAAATGGAAAGATATACGGAAAAAGGGAGTTAACCGGATTGGGGTAGATATATAAAGTAAAATCGTAGAAATGAAACTTAGTACGGTGCGAGTGAGTATACGTTAGAAATGCTACAAAAAGAGATACAAAAGATAAAAAATGAGAACGCATTAAAATTGCAGGAATTACAATCAGGCGGAGAGCAATAAATTAAAATAAATTAAAAGATGTACGAGAGAAAGTGTGGGTATGTGTAACAGTGAGAAAAATATATGTAGATAGATAGAGATGGATAGATGGAGAGAGAAAAAGAGAGAGAGAGTGTGAGAGAGAATAAGATCCTTTTTTTCAAATACATACATAGCTATATAATGGTTTCATCGCAATTTCTATGAAAGTGATAAAATTATTTAAAATTCCCTGTTTACACTGGATTGCACAACGACGAGAAGATATAAGAGAGAAAATAGGTAACTGATTTAAATCACAGGAAAAATATTGGTATTTTTTAAAAGTTTACCAGGCATGATATAAATCACTAATTTATTTTGAAAGATTTACTTGTTGACAGGCTTTGTTTTTAAGTTGTGCCCGTATCGATTCGAGGGTCGAAATCAATTTTGCAAAATTACTTTACAGGATTAGGCGAAGTAGAAGTTCGAAGGGAAAAATTCATGTAATATTCACGGCAACCTGCTCTAGAAAAAGGGATCCCCGGTTGGAGGTTTATTTAAGAAAAACACATGATTCCACAAACACATGTTGCCTTTATTTTTAAGTCCGAAATTGTACGTGTTCAAAACCAGACGATTTTTTATGGAGTATGGAGGCAAAGGAAATAGTGACGACCCTCCTCGAACACATATTCGACGCCGCCTTTGACGCCTGTGAGTAATTTGTTTTACCCCAACAAAGGGCGATCCGAACCTTTTATTCCCCTGGGTGTTGACAATTTCCACCGCCAAATAAACACAAGGTTCTCTTGCAACACGTTCTGTCGTCAATTCAGCCGGTCAATTAGGCTCGGTCAACCTAACTTAACGTCCCTATGTCAATATGTTTGCTTTCAAAACTCCTCCTATAAATTGAACCAGTGTGCATGTTTGAGGAAATATTTGTCTTTTAGTAAGCTATCTTTTCCGTATCTGGACTAAAGTGATATATATTCGAAATCTACGCATCGAAATATTTACACTGAATAAATTGCAAATTAACTGTTCAAAGTAAGAAAGATAAATACGTATTTTTTTATTTACTTTTTTTTTTCACGAGAGTTTGAGAGGTTTAACAAACCCTCAGGGTGCCGGTGTTTTTGAAAAAAAAAAACCATTTCTAAGTATGTCGGGTATGTCTGTTTCGAATTCAGGGCCGCTGGATTCGAACCCGGGACCTTTACCTTACAGTGATGAGCGCCGTGTCAACGCCTGAACCGTTGCGGCCACCCCCCCCCCCTAATTCTCCCGTATTGCAGTATTTAACACTGTTGTAACGAAAGATTATGTCATATCTTGTAAATTTTCTTGCTAAAACTTTGCAATTGTGGCACATATTTATTCTTTAATCCTCTTTATTTGTCCGTAAATTTTTCTCCTCGAACTAGGACCATCTGGAAAAATTTATTTATTTTTTATTGTTAACTCAAATAGATTGTTTCTTCGTTCTTATACTTTTTATTCTTTGGTATTTTCAGATTTGTTTGAATAACTTATTACGTTTTTAGAATAGTTGAAAATAAATATATTGTTGCTGCTATGATTTGAAAACAAGTCATATATTTAATTTTTAATTGTCTTTTATTCTGTGTCTGTCTGCTTTCTCCATGACTTATATATCTGTGTATTTTTTCTTTAAAGTGTTTATTATTTTACTTGTCATGAACAAAATCATGTAAAGAGTTGTTGTTTTTACTTGAAATGTGTGATATATTTAATACTCTTACCCATTTTTAGTTTTCGGGTCCGCCTAGTCTCGCTATTCGGTATTCTAGATATTCTCTGTTTGTATTTTTTGTTACCCTCGTTTTTATTTAACTGAGCTGTCATTTGCAAACTACAGCTAAAAATAAAACTGGCCCATTTCTCGCTTTGTATTTCGATTCATCGAACGTAGTTTTTTTCCTGGAACTGAGATTTCGATGTCGTATTTCGGGATCTCGATAAATTTAAAACTCACCATATTTCACAAATAACAACGAAAAATGAGTGACACAATTGTGAATTACATCTGATTTTCTGGGTCCGCTTGGTCTCGCCATAACACGGCATTCTTTCTTATTTTTGTTTCTTTTTCTTTTAATAACTATATATCTGCCTGCTCCCTTTATGCTCCCTACAGGCATTAGAATTACATAAGTTCTTAATGTGTGGTGATTAGTGACCGTTAATCGATATTTATTTAGAAATCGTGAGATGCGGTCTGGTGTGATGTAGGTTTCAGAAAAACATTTTCTTTATCGTGCCAACGTTTCGATCTTTATTGAGATCATCTTCAGGGCCTGAGATTTACAAACATTGTTTACATATAACAATTACATTTTCGATGTGGAAAAGCGAATTTATAGAATGCAAAATATATTTTTTTTATATATTCAATCAAAATGTTTTTCTGAAAACTACATCACCAGACCGCATCCCATGATTTCTAAATAAATAAGTTCTTAATGTAATATAATACAGTTTTGTTGTACATTTTAAATATCAAATCGGGTTAATAGATTAAACGAATTATTTATTATTAATAACGTAAATAAATAACAAGTTGTGCAAATAATAAATATAGATAAATAATTTACAGTAACTGTAGATTAACTATTGCTTATCAATTTAATATAAACAACAATAAATGTGTACAAACATACAGAATAATTTATTTTTTTAATGGTTTTTCTACATTTATTGAGTGCACAAATTTCAAGAACTGCTTCTGAAATAACGAAATGAGTTTTTCTTCCTCTATTGGCCAAGTTTCACTATTTTCAACTAAACATCGTACAAAAATAGATCTTTTTATGTCGAATATGCAACAATCTGTTATTATGTGACTCCAGGATTGGTTATTGTAGCGACAAGGGCATTCAGGATTACGTATTATATTAAATCTTGCAAGACCTATTTTTATCACGGTTTGTCATGGCCATCATGGGAAGTAATGCTAGTCAAAAGGCGAATAGTTATAGTCGGAAAATAGTGTTTTGTTAGTTTGCATCATTGGTATTTTTTCATTCTTCTGTACACTTTTTATGTTTTTCTCAGTACGATTTTTGACGTTACAGGAACTTCGGCGAAACATATGGGTACTTCCTCATCCTTTGCTGCCTCTTTCGCGGTGAGATCTGCCATCTCATTCCCCACTTCACCAGCACGCGCCTTGCTTGACCCAACAACCTCTAGTGTTCCAACAGAAATCATGTTTTTTTTTTTTTACTTACTTGCACTTATCTCTGTCTTGTTTAACTTTCTGTCATCGTCTTATTTTCTTTGCCGTCAATCCTTGATAAAACTGGTCCGCGATTTATCTCTGCGTATGTCAATTAGTGAAACGTAGTTTTATGTCATGGATTGGGATCTCCTGAAGACCATGTCCACCTGGTGTCGCGTTTTGTCCCGAAAATTGTCGTCTTTCGTGTATAAAACATAACAATCAGAAGAGTGAGACAGGGGTTGATGAGATCTAAAGAAGTTTTTGTTAAACATAAGAACTAAAATTAAAAGGAAGGGCTAATAAATCGGATATATAAATAGTTTAAAAATAATTAAGATATCTATTCACTTCCGATAAAAAAACTAACCACCTGGTTTTTACACGAAGAAATGTCCAACTTTAGAAATGCATATTTTCTCAGCCTTTTAAGTCATAGAACTGCGCTAGGTCTCATTTTTTAGACAATTTTACGCTGAACAAGATAGCTTTCAAATGTTTTTCTAATATCAGTCGTTTATCAGTAAATTTGAAACAATTGGTAACGTGTCACTTTTTGTACTTTTTATAAAAACTTCAAAATGAGCTGTGGAGCCAGGAAATCGTCCTGGAGCGGCGCCCTATAGCAATCGATGGGATATTTTAATAAGCTTTCAATTGGTCATCTTTCACTTTGCCCAATTTCTCAATCGTTTTCGAGTTATTCGCGATTTTTGAGCAAAAGACGTGATTTTTGGAGTGCTTATGGAAAAAACCGATCACTCTCTCTACTATATATATATATATATATAAAATATACAGGGTATATCAACTTCTATAGTATTTAAAATAATAATAATATTGAAAATGTTCTTATATCGAAGCTAATTTTAAGAATCGAGTGGTGGTAACGTATTTTTATGTCATGGATTGGTATCTCCGGAAGACCATGTCCACCTGGTGTCGCGTTTGGTCCCGAAAATTGTCGTCTTTGTAGCCCGGTAAATATAAGTTCATCATTTTCCATAAATAACAGTAAAAAATGTTGTTTCTGGACAATGGATACCAGGAAATGGAGGAGTTCCCTCCTGAGCACTGCAGCTATACAGCTTATTCTACTTTATCCCTGGCTCCATTTTTGGGGGCTTGCAACACAAGTGCCGTGTCAGTTTCTTTTAATTGTGGCCACCGGTCCCCTTAGGCGTCAGAAGTCCAGAGGCGACGATGGGGATCGAACTCACGACCGCGGGATCTACTAGACGAGAGTCTGAAGCCTTAACCACTCGGCTACCGCGGCCCCCCTCTATGGAAACTATTATGAATTACTTCTAATTTATTGAGCATTACGTTTTTCCTTTAGGAAGTTACATATTTTGTAAATATTACTGACGACCTTTGTACTCTCTCTGATATTTATCATACTGGTTTTGTTCTCGTTTTAAGTAAGTACAGTTAAATTTCTGTAAGAATGATGATGAAAAGTTTAGTTGGTAAGAAATAAACAGGGTTTAAGCCTTTTCCTTCATTAATTGTTTAAAAATGGTAATGTTCACTTGATACTAAACTTAATATGTCCACATCGAGCTAGTTGAGAGTAGTTCAGTTGAAAATTTGCTTTTTTCTTAATCAAGTAAATATAATTGTTCAAAATAAGCCAGATACTTTTTTTAACAAAATAATTTTTACTTTGTCCAATAAATTATTATTTCAAAATTAAGGCAAGCCGGTGGCCCCTAAGAAGATGATCGTACCAGTAATTCAGGATGGAGGGGGCGACAAACACGAGGATAAAGACAAATACGCCCAAGAAGAAAATGAAAACCAAATGCTGACTTCGTTATCGACTTCGGACTTTTTCCCAGAGGAAAATGTTTACACCGATGCGTCCGAAGAACCGATCTGTTACAGCGTGCTGTTTGACGACTGTTCCCTGGAGGATCCGAGCGTCTGCCTCTACAAATCCGACGATTCGCTGCAGGAAATATCTTCGCCGCAAATCCAAAGGTTGGAGAGAGAAAGTTTTTTTTTTAAATTCCCGTTCTACTATAGTAATAATGAATATGACCAGGTCGAGCAAATTCGCCTTTTTCACGGACAATAGGGCTGTGGAAATGCTCGCAGACGACCCGCTGATTCTGAACCAGGGTGACTTCGAAGTCAGGGAGGAATTCGACGATGATATTAACGAAGAGACGAGGAGGAGAGTGTACTGGTCCGGTCCTGGCCTTCTTCAAGAAAGACACGTCCGTTCACTTTTCCAGTCCCAGGTATTATTGAAAATATAATTATGAGACCTCCTAGGAGACCTCTGGCTTCTCCCTGATAAATCAGGGGGAGTCACCCACCTTGGTGCCTGAGCGACTATGATGTTGTGCTCTAGTCGGTCGCCATCGCTTTCTTTGGTCATTTCGGCGCCCGTACGTTCCCTAAAACTAGCCATTCTCATACTCACTCATACAATAAATACATACATACTCCTATACACAAACCCAATCACTCAAGGATATCCTCTGTATAGAATCCGGGTCGGAGGGTACTCGATATTCCACCCCGACCCGGCTTAGCGGAGCAGCGGTGGAGCCTTGAAATAATATGCTGCACCTCCGCCCACCATACTCCTATTCTAACATAAACTAAATCTAAACTTTAACCTATGAAATAAATACCCCCACTATATACAACCCATTATCCCTATCTATCTCTTAAAAACCTAAAAAGTTTTTCCTTAAACTCGCTGCCATGCTCGATCATTCTCTTATACTCCGGCGATATTCCATTTCGGTCCCTATGCGTGGCCAAGCTGCGACACCCCTCCAACACGTGCGACACAGTGAGTCTGTCAATTTGGCATGCGACTCGCGCCAACCAAAATGTACCCATGAGTCGCACGTGTGTGACCGATCCGCTGGCGGTCAGGACAACGCTTTCCCTTCAAGATATCACCCCAGGTATTATTAACAAATGTTTCATCATCAAAAACATTTTGTGTACTAACTATGACATAATGACACAAACCTGCTCTATTCGTTATCAGAATAATTTCAAACAAACTGGATGTGGATATGATTATTTTAGATATCAAGTGATTATTTTTTCGAAGATAATTTCTACGGATACCTAGTAAAGACTACTTCAAACAGCCAATAATGGCGATAAGTATTATATATCTAACTCTAAATTCATAGTTTTGTTGTTTCATTTGGCTTGTCACAACACGGTATCGGTGTGAAGAAGTGTGAAACAATAAAATATAACATCCAGCGAGAAAGGAGCGGTGGTTGATGAGATCTAAAGAAGTTTTTGTTAAACATAAGAACTAAAATTAAAAGGAAGGGCTAAATAAATCGGAGATATAAATATTTTAAAAAGAATTAAGATATCTATTCACTTCCTATAAAAAAAAACCAACCGCCTGGTTTTTGCACGAAAAAATGACCAATTTTGGAAATGCATATTTTCTCAGCCTTTTAAGTCATAGAACTCCAGGTCTCATTTTTTAGACAATTTTACGCTGAACAAGATAGTTTTTAAATATTTTCCTAGTATCAGTCGTTCATCAGTAAATTTAAAACAACTGGGAAAGAGTTAATTTTTGCACATTTTATAAAAACTTTAAAATGAGCTGTGGGGCCAGGAAATCGTCCTGGTGCGGCGCCCTATAGCAATAGATAGGAAATTTGAATAAACTTTCAATTGATCATGCTTCACTTTGCCCAATTTCTCAATTGTTTTCGAGTTATTCGTCATTTTTGAGCAAAAGACGTGATTTTTGGAGTGCTTATGGAAAAAACCGATCACTCTCTCTACCATATGTATAAAATCAACTTCTATAGTATTTAATTCGGAAACGATTAAGTTGAGGAAAAAAGGTTCTTATATCGAAGCTAATTTTGGCTAAGAATCGAGTGGTGGTAACACATATAACATACCTTTCTCATCTAGTTCACTAGTTTTCGTGGTCCGCTTGACAAATTAATATCTTTCAATTAATTAAACTTTTTAGTTGAGATAAAAAAGGTCAGTGTCACGAGCGGGATTGAAAAATGGCAAAAAGGAGGGAAAATTCAAAAGGTGGGTTGAGATGGGAAGTTAGTGTCCGAGCGGATCGAGGTCACGATACCTCGAGTGGTAGGGCAGCTTTCTAGCCGAAGATCGTGGGTTCGTATCCCGCCCGTGACACTGACTTTTTTATCCCAACTAAAAACTTTAATTGAAAGATATTAATTGGTCAAGCGGAACACGAAAACTAGTGAAGTTAATTTTTATTTGGTCATTGATGATGAGTTTAGCTTTAAAGTTAATTTTCTGTCCTTGAAGAGCATATTGGCTTCATATCAGTCACATTGCTTAGTACTATGCGTGGTGACCTTTGCACTTGTGCTTGTGTTTTTTCTCATCTGGTATCAACTGATTTTTTGACAAGATCAAAAGTATTGAAGTTTTGATCTCACATTTTTCAGGAGGACATAGTTTTTTTTTAAATTCTTTTGAACAAGCCATGCCGTTTCTTTGGCTAATATTTCTTCTTCTTGATCTGAAATCGGTACTGTTAAATTTTTTTCAGACTGGCTCGGTGTTGATTTTTGTTCCTTTGCCTTAAAACCTTATTTCATTTCTCATCTAGGTGGGAAATGACACTAACTTTGTTATGTGAAATGAGAATCCAAAATTTATTACTCAGTTTGATTCTAGAACCTATTTTATGCCAGTTTTACTGAATGAAAAATTTTGATAGGATCAACCATTTCTGAGATATGACCTACGGAAGACGCGTGAGGGGCGTATGCTTTTTGTAACAAGACAGCCCACCCGTTTATGTCAATTTTCGCAACAGCAGAGGTTATATCAACCTTCGGGGTGCCGTTTAAAAAAAAAAAAAAAAAGCCCATTTGTAAGTATGTCTGGTTCGAACCAGGGACCTTTGCCTTACAGTGATGAACGCCTAAACCTTTGCGGCCACCGACGCCCCTTTCAAATACTATTAATTTTACCAAGAAATAATCTTATGCAAACCTCAAGTTAATTTTGAATTTTTTGAATCGCGTGGTAGTAATAGATTTAACTTCACTTTCTCACCTAGCCGGAAAATAGCACTAACTTTGTTATTTTAAATGAGAATCCTATATTTTTATTGTATAATTTGATTCTATAGCTTATTTTACGACCCTTTTTCTTAAAATAAAATTTAATAGGATCGATCTGGGTTTTTGGACGGCTATGGTTTTGGATAGAATGTTTGACAAATGAATGAATTAATGGTATAACGGATAGATGTATGTTTCAACTAATAGGTGGAGGGTCTGAGGAACAGATATTCTTGTTGGATAAATTTATGGATTTATGGTTTGATAAATCACAACTGATTGGAATTATTCGATGAATATATGGATTATTGAATGGATGTATGGACTGATGTAGTAGGACAGATAGATGGAGGATTTGCCAATAGAAGTAATAATTGATTATTTAATTGTAAATAAATACATGGTCAGATGGAAAGATGAATGGAGAGTTATACGGTTGTCATTCCCCACGCAAAGTTTGGTGAGAAGAGAAAGATGAAGAGGTGAGTTGAGAAATGAAGAGAAAGAAAGAGAGAATATCTGGGCCAGCAAGAAATGAGAGGGGGAGATTAATAAATAGCAATGTTACAAGCTATAGCTATAAAAATGAATAAAAAGACATACTACAAAAAATGTAAGACTGAGAAAGAAATATATATATATATATATATATCTGTCTGTCTGTCTGTCTGTCTCTCTCTCTCTCTCTCTCTCTCTCTCTCTCTCTCTCTCTCTCTCTGTGTGTGTGTGTGTGTGTGTGTGTGTGTGTGTGTGTGTGTGTGTGTGTGTAGTGTGTGTGTAGAAAGAGAGAGAGAGAAGCAGAAGCCGTAAAAAACCTCTCTAACCACAGCGTATAAAATTCACAAAAAGAGTCGCTACAGATACAAGAAAAATATTAAAAGAATGGCGAAAAATGTAATGAAAAAAAAATGATAGACTAAGAATGAGACTCATATATACTTTGCGAAAGGAACTGAGATAGTCCTTGGTAGTGAATGGATTTGGGACCAACAGCCTAGAAAAATACGGTATGTAGAGATAAAAAGAATGATATAAAGAAATCGGAATTGGGTGAGTGTCAGACATTAATACATTTTATTTGACAAAGTCTATTGTATTATTTGTTAGATATTTTTTGTTTACAGGAGTAAAATATAATGAACTATTTTTCGTTTTTGTGCAGAAAATTTAGATATATTAATGGATTTTGGATTCAATTTTTGCATCAAATTGTTATATATTTTTCTTTTTTGTGACAGGCGATTCCAGAGGGTGTAAGACCTACCCTTGCTTACGTCTCTTCAGAAGAAATGATGCCAGTAGAACACCCGACGACGAAGGCCGTCCTCATGACCCCACCGCCGGCCAGAGGTATTTCCTACCAAGCGAGAAAGTCCGATTCAAAGAAAATCAAGAAGCCTCTGGCCAAACGATTTTTCTTCAGCATCCTCAAAGCCGTCGGTATTAAAAACAATAAAGTATCAGAATGACAGTTTTCCTCCTTCCAACGTTATAATGCAATATGTAAAACTGGATCAGCTGAGAAATATCTTTATTAAATTCTATTCTTCCCGTGCTACGTATGAACTCGCCATGTATATAATATTACAGGAGGATTTATAAGCAATAATATTGTAAGATTTTATTGACAGGTTGACGTTCTGTCGGGTTAACCGAGACTTAACTGAAATTACCATTTATTTTATGTGGTATAATGTTGAATAAGAGCCGTGTTATTTAACAGGGTAGGTAAAGTAAAAAAACCAGGTCTTATTAGCATATTGTTCCCATGATGAACTTATTAGATTACAACATAAAAAAACGGCCATGCTTTGATTGTAGTGTTTTACACAAAGGGCTTTATTTTTTAACCGTTTATTACCCTTTATTTAAAGTTTATTACTCTCTCGCGCCAAATATGTTGTTAATTCTATAAATGGGTTAGAATTGCTATGGATTACACCCGATGAAAAATATATGGAAATAACTTACAAGGAGAAAAACTTTAATGTTTTTGGATCAAAAATGTACAGGCTTAATGTATATTTTACAGTATTTGCACACAATATGAAAAACGGAAAAAAATCAATGAAAAGGACGGCCAAACCTAAATTTTAGAGTGAGTGTAAACATTTAATTAACAAATTGGTTGTAAAATTTATTACATATAGTTTCTATTAAAAATAATCTAAATATTTTTGTTTGTTTCGTTTTTGCATTAAAATTAATTGAATTGCTCTGAGACAAAAGTTATGTGATCCATTACTAGAACACCGCGAAAGCAGAAAATGAAATTTTTTTAGAACTGGCCGGAAAAATGTAATAGACGGTCTTGTAATACTAAACAATAGGCGAAAGCCGGGACACCCCACCCTCTAACCTAAGCTCATGTGAAAAACATGATAAAAAAGATGACAGCGGCAGTGGGCAGGTCGTCGGAGAGGCTCTTGTGGGTCAAGAGCACGACCAGTAGATGGCCCTCGGAGAACATGAGCACGAGACGAGGTATCCCTCACCCGATAGAGGATTGGCCATACGCGGTTGACACACGGGCACCTGCTTTTGGGCCAAGCCCACCCCCCTTATGCAAAGAAAGTTTGCTCGATGTGTCCCACATAATAGAAGCGTGCCACGCCCTGGCTCCATATAGAGAGCATGGAGGCAAGCTGCCGAATTTAAGGAAGCGAGTTTCAGCGTACCCTTCCTGCTTTTTATGAGAATTGGGAATTTTTTTATTTTATATAGCCGTCCAAATATGTGTTTTGTATGAGTGTATTAGAGTTAAAAATATTTATATAATATGTTTTTTGTACCATATAAAATTTAAAAAAAAAATGTGCCAAGTGGTAAAATTTATATCATCCTTTACCGCTATGGGAACCTGCGAAAACAAAAAATTAAAAACATTATTCGAATAAATCAATAAATTATTTATTATCTATCCTTCTTTAATCGGTTGTTCATCCTTTTTGATTTTTTGGAATTTCCAATAAATGATGATCTTCAAAATATTCACGTACGATCTACGGGTTTTATTTGAAATATAATCGTTACTAGTAAGGGCGTCGGTGGCCGCAATCGTTTAAGGTAAAGGTCCAGGGTTCCCCCAGCATGCAAACTCGACATCCTTACAAATAGGCCTTTTTTCAAATCACCGACCCTTCCAGGGTTGACATGACCTCTTTGAAGAACCTTCTGAAAAATTAATTCAATCTTTATCAGACCGCATCTCACGATTTCCGATTTTTCATCGACAAACGGTCACTAATCACCACACATTAATTCAAGCATTAAGCCGAAATAGTAACAGACGATTTTTGAATGTATTGCCCAATTTTTTTAATCTAACGTGGAATTAGAATAAGAACTTAAAATTTTATCAATTCGTTCGAGAGATAATGTATTCCTCCAAAAGTTGACGTTGTTACCAGGTTTCAGCTTGCTCTTTTCTACCCTACTATCTACTTTTGTAAATTAGAAGTTCCCAAGGTTCCTCTCAGGAGGATCTGCAAGCCTTCTTCTGGCTCAAGTCCGGACAATAAGCAGTGTGCGCCGTCGAATATTTATCATGATATATTCACAAATAAACATGGAGGTATGAGGGACAAATAAAATGAAAAACAACTAGAAATGAAAAGGAAAACTTGCTTTGCAAAAATAAAAGTTTATTAAACCGCTAATTATAAAATTTGGAATAAATGAATGAAATTGACTTCTGTTTTATATATAAGCCTTGTCCGATGAACGATGTCTGATTTAAACAATGTTCGATACTCACGGATATTTTACAAAGTAAATTGAGAAACGCCAGGGAGAGATACAGCGACCTGTCATGAAGTGGTTCAAATGCAACTCTCTAGATTTTTGAGGTAAATAACAGAGGAGAGGGGGACCGATTCAACAGTTGATCGAATATCCTATCGTGAACGATTCATTTGATTCGATTAAAACAAAAAAAGAAAATTTGAAAATTTACTATTGTGAATTTTTTTAAAATTTTTCTGACTATAAATATGTTACATATGACATTTTTGATCATTAAAAAAGGTTCACACATCTAACCGGTTTTTGTTTAAACTGGGTCAAAGCGTTGAACTTCGTGGGCCAGTGTAATTTATATTACAATTAATATTTAATGGTCAATTTCTCGTCCTTAAGACCTCTTTCTACTGATAGGCATGTAATTAGTCCATATTTGGGCCGGTCGCTATAATATTTTATGTGACATTTGATTAAATTCACATCATGTGTCACGACGGTATGTCGTCAATAGAGAAATTTTCGCCCATTGTTAAGTGTTTGATCGGTCATCATAAAAACAACATTTCTACAAAATAACCGTTATATTTTATTCAAAACAGAACTTTTCTTCAAAACACAGGTGCAAAAAAGATTGTCGGTGGCCGCAACGGTTTAAGCCAGGAACCCACTTACCCGATGCTACGCCATGCGACGCTACCCGATGCTACCCGACAACTTACCACGTTTTGGTGTGGTGTGCACATCCATCCGACGCAAGCACACGTCGCGTACAGTCCACAGCGTTTATCACAATAATCACTATCACAATCGCAACGCATCTTTTATTCTTAATGCACTATTTTGACCAAAACCTTGTAATAAATTGTTAGTTAAATTTTATGAGCACAACCATCTAATAAATTGTTTTAATTGTTTTAAATCAAATTACTCCTAACCATCAAAATTAAACAATGTTTATAAAAACTTATGCATTTTTGATCTCGTCTAATTTGGTTTACATTAAAATAACATGTTGTAATTATTATAACGACAAAATTACATGTATTTAGTTTGAAGTAAACGTCAAAAAATATGAGTGTCCTGTTCTGATGCTACCCGACATTATATGGTGTAATTTTACGAGTAAAACTATGAAATAAAATGTTAATTAAATTTTATGAGCAAAACCGTGTAATAAATTGTTAGTTAAATTCATTATATCAAAAAATCGTATTCCGGTGTTTTGATTAATTTTCTACCAAACCATTAAAATTAATTTTTTAAATAAAAACTAATTAATTTTTAATCACAGTTAATTTGGTTTATATTAAAATAAGTATGTTGTAATTAATGTAACGACAATAATACATGTAGGTTGAATAAAAATATGAGTGTCTGGTTCTTTTGTCTTCGACTGTACTCGATGCGACCCGAAGAAAATCTGGACGGTGGGGATCGCAGAGCATCGGGTAGATCTGCACGGGGGTAATGCAACCTTATGGAAAATCGGAGTTTGGATTTGCGTCGGGTAGCATCGGGTAGATGTGCACGGGGGTAATGCAACCTTATGGAAAATCGGAGTTTGGATTTGCGTTGGGTAGCATCGGGTAGCGTCGCATGGCGTAGCATCGGGTGTGTTTCTGGTTTTAGGCGTTGACACGGCGCTCATCACTGTAAAGTGAAGGTCCCGGGTTCGAATCCAGCGGCCCTGCTTTAAACCCGACATACTTACAAATGGGCTTTTTTTCAATAACACCGGCACCCCAAGTGGTTTATAAAAAAAAAGATTAACCCTAAGAGTGAAAGTCCAGCAAGGATTAAATTTTTTTAAACCTCTCAATTTTACCAATGAGGTCCTATTATGTTTCTTTACACGCAATTACGATCAAAGAGCCGAAGATCAATCCCATTAATGCTATTATAATTTCATCAATCAATTAAACATCTCTTACTTGGACAGTTGGAATGTTTATTATTATTACTGCCATTTTAAGTGTTAAATTTTTTAATTCCTATTGAAAGAATGTTCCCGATAAAAAATAATGGGGCTTTATAAAACGTCGATTATTACCATTTTAAAACATTCCCTTTTTTTAAATATGTATATTTGATATTAATTATAGTGTTAAAAAGTCGAGAATAACCTCTTCGTCATTGGCTTGAAATCTAAGTTCCAATATATTTAATACACTTTCCTTGTTAATACAGAATCCTAAGTGCGAACAGATATAACCATCGACCCAACCCAATTATCTTAAGTAGGTCTTTATGGTAATTAATATTCAGGTCAGGGGAAGATAATTCCCGATAACGAGGATCTCACGGGAATAACTAAATATAATTACAAGATTAAATCATGCATACTACAAGCTAGTAGCACTTACCGAGCATGCCGACGGGAAAGTGGGTCGGGTTCATCTGATTCTCAATGACGCTCTGTGTCACGACCCAGACGTAGTTTTCCCCAGTTATCTGATAATCTCGTGCCGCCGCGAGTATGTGCATCGCTTCTTCCCTGGTCGCGTAGAGCAGCATGACCCGCGATTCCGAGTTGACGAGTTCCAGCAGGTCGGACGGCTTCGTGACAAGCACGGCGTTCAGGATGGTAAACCTGGGGAAAAAGAGCCGGTGTAAGTATTCTCAAAAAAAGGTTCTTCCCGCCGTTAAAACAAAATGTCGTTTGAGCCGTAAATCCATTTGAGACATCATCAAGTTGATGCATTTTCATTGAAAAATAAATTTCGCTCGGCCTTGTTTGCTTAATGAGCGGATATTGCGTTTCCTACCATTTGTAAAGAGAGACTAGCAACTCAACTATTTATATTTAACTTATTACATCGACTTGTAATATCAAGCCTCAAATCTTAAATCCCGTTTTTATTGATTTTTATACATAGTTTTGTTTGTACTCATAAGAAATCACTGAAAATGAATTCAAGAGATTTTCATTTGAATGATAAAAGAGAGAATACTGTTTTATTCAAATAATCTCTCGCAAAATGAGGCCCAGATCGATTATATTCCCATTAAAATGAAAAACAGAAAGTGACAAATAATAAAATTATTGTGTTTAATTACAAAATGACTTCTGGTGGAAAGAGTGACAAAGTGTTGAAGTGTAAACGACAAGAAGACTAAAAGATAAAATTACAGAGCGAGAAGAGAGGAGAGAAAGAAAAAGATTTGAGCAAGAGAGAGGGAGTGAGATAGGGAGAAAAAGAAATAGGGAGTGTCTGACAGGTAGAAAATGTGACAAAGTGGGAATGATGAAGAAACTAATAGCTAAATGACAAAGTAAAGAAAGAGGGTGAGTGATATATATTTAGAGAGAGAGAGAGAGAGAGAGAGAGAGAGAGAGAGAGAGAGAGAGAGAGAGAGAGAGATTGATGGCGAGATTGTCTATCATCTACTATCATTTCAGATACAAAAAAAACCTAGAAGCCGAGATTCAGCTTGCTTTAACCATAAAGTTGGTTTTTCTAGGTGTACCAAAAGGTGTGAACATGATAACAACCCTCGCCAAAGATTTTACCTCGCCTTCGTTAAATTGGTAATTGTTTCATGACACTGCCGAGATTCATCTTGCTTCAACCATAAAGTTTGTTTTTCTAGGTGTACCAAAAGGTGTGAACATGATAGCACTTATCAAAGGTAAAGGAAGTGGTGCTGGAATCCATATACCTAAATTAGGTATCAGCATCTCCTCCCCTCTTGGCAATAACACCTCCGTTTTTCAGGCGGAAATCTGGGCCATTAATATGAGTTGTAGAACACTTATGGAAAATAAAATCAAGGGAAAAGATATTCGCATTTTTTCTGACAGTCTGGCTAGTCTTAGGTCATTACAAAAAGATTTGTCAACATCTAGACTGGTGGAGGAAACTGTAGATATTATCAATAGGGTCTCTTCCAGGTTTGAGAACAAGGTAACCCTTATTTGGATACCAGCACATAAAAGACACTATGGCAATGAAGAGGCGGATAGCCTGGCTAAAGAAGGCTCTATTACTACGTTTGTCGGGCCACAACCGGTATTACCTCACTCTATGAGCGAAAGAGAGTATTAAAAACTGGGGTATGAAACAATTCCTTAAGGAAAGGAATCTATCTCCCGGACACAGGCGCAATCGAAAGAGTTTGTTAAGGTGATCAAACCATCAGAATCGAAATGGCTATTCTCTAACTCAAGGAAGGGAACTAGGTAGCTGATAGGTATCCTGACGGGCTACTGCCCACTGAGAAGACACCTCTCCGTAATGGGTATTCTACCAGATCCCTTTTGCCATTTTTGCGAAATAAAAGAAGAAACGGCAAGGCACTACTTCGCAGAGTATGATAGGTACGCTAGGTCTAGATTTGAAACTTTTGAATGAGAGGACATCACCAAATCACTCCCCGTGAATAAATGGTCCGAAATTTTGGGTTTTATGAACAGGTCCAAGAGGTTTATGAAGGACACAGGAGCCGACCAAGTCCCCGACCTTTTAGGGATGGGGTACGAGTCTACCCAGGCATTTAACCCCCGGGTCTTGGTCGCCCACCCTGCATAATATATATAATCGTTAAAATTGTATTTACTGGCCTTAACTAAAAATATAATTTATCATTTTCAGGCATTTTCATCGACGCCTTCTGTGTCGACTGCTAATATCTTACGACAATTTTTGAGAAATAATCCAATTTACCTCAATTAAGATAGTTCAGAAATAATTTTATAAAGATTGCTATCATTTAAGATAAGCGCTATTATATATTTATTACTTATTTATTCTTCTAGATGTTTCGTTTTTGTAATTAATCTTATTTATAATATTAATAAATTTCTTCGAGCATTTTCCGTTAAAAGAAAGCTGGTTTTGAAGAAAGGAAACACCTCAGATCGATTGGCTTTACTATAATGACGCTAAGAATTGCAGTAGAATGGGGCTTGGACTTCCTTTGACAGGATTTCGTACAGTGCGGGTGTTCAGCTTTTCAGCCAATATTAGAGACAGAGTAATCTTCAGATTTGGGGCATACGTTCCCTTTTACCCACGATCCTGTCGTTTTCCGCCAAACGTCGAAAATATAATTTAAAGAAATCCTCAGAAAGTTGGGTGTGTTGAATATTATACATTTCTTTTATCATCTATTTCTAGGGATTAAATTAGTCTCTCGGTTTTGGAACAAAACTAATCCATTATTATCAATTCGATAAAGCAATCTAAATAAACTAATATCTCTAACCCGAATCGATCAATCAAAATTGATTTTAATTCTTAAAACAACTGTTTACGCCTGAATTTAAATTTTATTTTTTGTTTTAATTTAAGTTGAGTTTGTTTGGTCTCGTTGCCACGAGAAACGAATGTTTACGCCTCCCGTTGCTATGGGAACGAAATGTTATGCTTTTGGTTGCCATGAGCACCAGTGTTTTCACGTCGCCGTTGCTACGGTGAATTGTTTTGTATTTTTCATTACCATGAAAACGCCCCTTCTTTTTTTTTGCCAAGTCCAGTCAACTGGACGAGTCGCGTCTCAACCGCCAAGACAGCATACGCTCTGTTTCTTAAATTTAGATGTTTCAGGCAGTAATTTTATATAAGTTATTTTGTATTGTAAATCGATAGTTCAACGTTCTGTACTGTTCAACAATACGGGCGTTATTATTATTCGTCCGCCGCACTACAATCAGTTGTATTATATGTCTTGATTCACAACGACCGCACGCCTGACATCTTCCGCACCGCAGCAGAAGTGGACCCGACTTCATAATCTTTCCCGCACAACCGCAACGCACGTCACATCTATACATCAAGAGTACTCACAAGTGAACTTTTAGTTTAATTTAAATATATATTTTTTTTTGTATCTTCATTTTAACTTAGTTTTTTTCTTTCTTTTCTAAATTCATTGAAGAGCTCTCTGTTTCTCTTTTTAATTAATTTTTAATTTAAAACTAATACAATAATTTTATTTGATAGTATTATTATTATTACATTAAGAAACTAACTTTGTCTACCTTTGCCGTAACTTTTTCTTATAATATATTTGTTATTTCTATTATATAACATTTTATTTTGCATGTTATCGCCTATTAACGCTATTTTAAGGATTTTAATATACAGAAGCTCTAGATCTAATCAGGTGAGTGATTTGAGTGGCAAAGTGTCGTAAAACTAGATCTGGCAACACATTTGGGAAAAAGATTACCTCCCACAATCGGACGAGGTCGCTGAATATCCAACAACAACCTTTCAAAATTAAGTTCCTTTTTCAAGATTTATTTTTCTTTTAAAATTTAAATGTAGCACACCATAAAATATGATTTTTTTTCGAACGAAGAGTTCCCCCTGAGCGCTGCAACTGTTCAGCTTATTGTACTTTATCCCTGGCTCCATTTTTTGATTGAGCCCCCGGTGTGTCGGTGTTCTTCCATCAATGAAACTCATTTTTGAAGGGGGTTGGGACCAAATTCAGGGTCATTAAGATCTGATTCCGCTCCTTCCATGGATCCACTAGCCGAGAGTCTGACGTCCTAACCACTCGGCTACCTCAGCCCCCCAAAATATGTGTTAATATATATTTTGGTTTATATCACACTATTTCCACAAGTTTTATTTGCTTTTAACTAGGTTGTTGACCTTATGTTTTTTTTCCTGTGGTCACTGCTAACAATATCTATTACGCAATTTGTTATGTCCATATCTCTAATATGTAACGACGGTTAAAATAGTTAAGCACTTTTCAGAGTTCCTATTTGCTTATTTCCGTAGGCGTTAGCGTCATTTATTGGACTTACTGTCTCTTCTTTGTGGCAGTTTCGGCAAATTTCTGTCTTAGTTTTTCCCATTTTTAAGGTGAAAATATTAGATTTCACAAAACTTCTTCCACTTGTGCAACTGTACACTCAATTAAAATGAGATGTAAAAAAAAATAACAAATGGAAAAGGTTAAACTCCCGTAATTTTATGGAACGGGAATGTATACGTCAATAAACGCCCTTTTTCCAGGGTTGCCGGAGGGAGGAAAAAATTGAAAATTAAATTACCTATGGCCAATAGAAAAGTGTGTTACTTTTCTTGATTCACGCTTGCTTAGAAAATGGCAGAATTTTTTCCTGATTGGGATATTGAGGAATATGTTTTACTTTTCAGTAACGCTGTTACCATGATATTAGGTGTTAAAGATGTTCCTTGCCTTCAATCCATCATCAATGTTACCTCATTTCGTTATTGATGGAATTGAAGGTAAGGAAGGAGAACCTAGACCAGCTTTGAGCTCAAGTTTGAAAATTCTGAAAGCTTAACTACAAATGTGGTATTAAAGATATATTTTCGATTTAGCTAATAGTTACTTGACAACATGCTGGGAACGTCTCGAGACCATTTTCGCTCCAATCGTCTTGGACAATTTTCTGAAAGGATTGGAAGTGATAATTGTCGTACTAAGATTATTGTACATGCTTAGTATTGATGAATAATTTTTCAGCCGGGTTTTGATGAGGTCATATACAAACGGGATGTTGTACGTCTAGAATAGTATCATTTGAAACATAAAACGTACCATTTGGCATAATTTGGCAGAGAAGTTTCGACTGAATAGAGTGTAGACGATTGAATAATAGACATT